GGTGGTTGCATTGCACAGTGATGTCAGAGAGTAATACCATGGTAGTGAATGATTACAACATTTGTAAACCAATGTAAATACAGGGGAGTATAATTGTAATGTCATCAGTTCAACCACTTCAAACATGGCTCTGTGATGTATAGCTGTTAGCCTGTGTTTTATGTATTTGTTCATGTTATTTGGTCTTTCTATCTTAAATTTATTTATGTTTCGTATAATTGTATGGTAATAGGGAAGGGTATGCATGACAGTTATTTGGAAGTAAATTTGATTGCCAAAGTAAATTAATCTAGAATATATATAAACATATGGCGTTTTCAAATCGGATTAATGGAGAAAAACAACAGCATTCTTTGTACTTGCCATTTATTTACAGAATTTAAAGAATAAATGGTAGAATTCTCGAAGTTGTAGAATAATATGGGAATATTGTATCAAAGTTTGAGACACAGAATACTACCGTGGTACTTGTATACAAAACCATAGTATTAGTATGATATCATATCCAAAAAAGAAACATGGTATAAAATAGTTTTTTATAAGTGAAGCTGCATTGATAATCCCAACATTGTGGAGGTTGATGCCAAAACTCATTCCCACCGAACTGTGTTTAGTTTTTCCAATGTTTCATTGACCTCCATCCATTCCTTGTAAGATCCCATGACCAAGTTGAACAGACAACCGTTTGTGCTGCTTTAAAATCATGAGGATCTCTATTTGAGCAATCAGTAAAACGAGTAATTCTGGTTTGAGGAGATGATAGCATGTCTCTGCTGCACTGCATTGTGCCTGAGAATGACGAGCACACCTAAGTTATGTGGTTTGTGTCTGTGTAATAGCAGGCCTGTAGAGTGCTATCATTCAGGTTACTGGTCTCGTTCGTTGGGATGGGCATTGCTTCATGCTGGGCCGTTGCCATTTTAACACATCTCTTGACATTTGTTTGAAGTTCAAAGCTGCTCTCCGCACCCCAACACAGGAATATTGTGGAGGTCTCTGTGCTGTGTGCATGTAAACCTTTGTTCTGTTTGAATAACCTTGGCTTGTAATTCGTTTACCATTTTGAACTGCTGTTCGCGTTAAATCTGGTGCTTAGTGGAAAAGTACAACGTAACGTGTCAGTATGACACTGTAAATGATATGTGCATGGGAATGCATTTGTGTGTGTGTGTGTGTGTATGTGCACTGTGTATGTGTACTGTTTATTCCGGTGTATAATGTTGTTTGTGGCCAAACTAATAATGTGTGCAAGTCTCGGCCCAGTTCGGCTCCGTTGGGTTTGAGATTGACCCTGTGCTTCTGACCCACTGAAGAGTGACGACTGAATAATTTCTGGAGGACTGTGGGAAATGCATTGTGATCTAATAGTGTATGTCTGAGTGGATCAATCTCTTCTGTTAACATCGTTGGCTCTGTACTGGGGATAGAGGGTGAACATATTAAGAGGAAAGATGACAGCAGTTGGAAGCGAGCACAGAGTGGATCATTCTGCTATTTAACTTTTAGCCAGCAGATTAGACTCATGGCTTTTCTTAAGGCTCATGAAATTGGTTTGATAAATGCAATCTTCCAGTCTCATGACCTCTTGCACACTAATTATTATTTGATGATTCTTTTCGGCCAAAGCAGAGTTTTAAGCAGCACCAGACATTAAAAGGAATATTATTCAGAATAAGGGTTAAGTAATATTTTTTTTTTTTTCCAATTGTTGATTTTTAAATTATTACTGTACATGTCATTCACATCAAGGAGTCAAATAGTAGCTTCTTAACATTGTCAGGTTAAGGCATGTCAGCTTGATTGGTGGACATATTAATTATGCTATTTCCAGCCAAAGTACAGATCGTATCTTGAATTAGGAAAGACGGAAATCTTGTGTTTGTGAAATTAAATTTAAATTTCAAATCAGGAACAAAATCTGATAACAATAAGTTGTGCTTTTTTAAGTTGGGCTCAAGCCATGCAAACAAAAGAAATTAGTAGTTCTCTCTGTTTTATCTAATGCTAATGAACATTTAAAAGTAAACAAACATGCAAATGGCTCTCTTAAATATAAAAACCTGTTAACACCTAAAAGGAATAACTATAACGATAATTATATTAGCATCCACACTAATGAACAATAACATTCTATTTATTATAAGCACTGCAGTCTTGTTGTCTGCCGCTTTAAATGCCCAGACTCTTTAAAGTCAGGTGGATTCTAATTGGCTGTCAATGTTTTTATCATTCATCATCTGGAAAAAAAAAATGTTCTGAAACCTTATCGTTCCTTTGTGTCGTTCTTGTTATAGTTGTGGTGTGGGCTTCACTATTTTTATAGAATTAGAATGATTATTGAAACTTTGTACCTATAGTTTTAGTTTTAGTTACCGTCCTTGGTGTGAAGGGGCCTTAAAGGGATAGTTCAGCCAAAAATGAAAATTCTTTCATCATTTACTCAGCCTCAGGTGGTTCCAAACCTGTATGAGTTTCTTCCTTCTGTTGAATTTCTGCTGATGATAGCCATCAACTTCCATAGTATGGAAAAAATACTATGAAGTCAATGGTTACCGTCACTGTTTGCTTACCATCATTCCTCAAAATAACTTCTTTTGTGTTCAACAGAAGAAAGAAACTCATACAGGTTTGGAACAACTTGGCTGAGTAATGAATTTTTATTTAGAATTTTTATTTTTGGGACCATCCTTGCATTATACATGCCTTTATCATGGTCCAGTTATCACTTGTTGGCAGAAAATATGTTTCTCCATTGACAACCATTCATAGTTAGTTGATGAGTGAGTTGAGTGTATGTTTTGGGTGTATTTAATGAAGATGATTTGATCATTAGTAATATAATTTGTTTGTTGTTAAGAGATGTAAGATCTCAGAGTAGGTCATCATTCCTAAACCAATCAACACACACTTGGACACAAAAACATAAGAGCAAATGAATGGGACTGCTTGAGCATTAGAAAGAGATTAATCAAATGTATTGAGCATGTGTGTGTGTGTGTTTGTGAGCAGGAAGCATTAAGGAAATGCAGACGTTTCTACATGTTTGCGAAACACAGCAGCGCTGTGTCAGCAGGGAGTCACAGGGCACCTTAATTATCTTCTTTTTCTGTTCATCTTTGGCTCTGGTACGCTGTCCCTGTAGCTCACTCCCCTCTGTCTCTCTGTAGCTATGTTTGTCAGCTCTGCTGTCATTGTAGTGCTCTGGGTCCTCAGCCAAATCTGGCTGCGCTGCATAACCTGTCCTGCTGCCACACGCTGCTGCCTATACACGAGTGGAGACGTGTGTCCCGTGGGCTGTGTTTGTTGATGTTTTTCAGCATGTGGTGTTATTTTTGAAGCACGCATACCATACAGCACGTGTCATGTGCACATCATCACAGTAGTGCGATACACAACACATTATTGTGCAAACAAGGAACCAGGAATGTTTGTTTGTGTATCAGCTCACCTTTGTGTTAAAAGGGCGTTCTGCCTCCTACGCTCATTATGGAATGAGTGATGACTGTCTTTTACTGCTAAGAGTATTTATATGTACAGACATAGTTACATAAATATATATATTAAACCTATAAAGTGCCAGTTAAACTTTTATATTTATTTTCCACTTTAGTTACTGTTTGTAAGCAGACAACCTATGTCAATCTCAGATTCACTACCATTCAAAAGTTTGGGGTCGGAAAGATTTTATTTTATCAAAAAAAAAAAAAACCCCAGTAAAACAGTAATATTTTTGCAATTTAAATGAACTGTTTTCTATTTGAATATATTGTTACAATGTCATTTATTCCTGTGGTGCAAATGATGAATTTTCAGCAGTCATTACTCCAGTCTCAGTGTCACATGATCCTTCAGAAATCATTCTAATGTGCTGATTTCCTGCTCAAGAAATATTTCTTATTATTTATCAGTATTGAAAACAGTTGTGCTGCTAAATTTTTATTTTTTTGGAAACTGTGATACAATTTAATGCATCCTTGATGAATAAAAGTATTATTTCTTAAAAAAAAAATGAAAATAAAATAAACATCGTACTGACCCTTTTGAACGGTGGTGTACAAATGTAAAACAAAATCTTGCTTGGCAGAACAAAATAGTCACCATTAAACATGTTAACTGTGGATTTGAAACCATGTAACAACCTGATCTCACAGGAAAATGTAACTATTTTATAACATGTACAAATAACAAGTAACAAATAACATGATTTTTTGGAAAAAAATTTTGGGAAAAAAGCTAGCATGAAAGCCCTAACATAACTGAGACATAAGCAGATTATACAAATGAGATCATATGAATCCATACAAATTAGCCACCAATTCGCCAAACTGAAAAATAGTTATAAATTGCCATGAGATTGTGTTGAACACACAAATGCAATCCAACAAACATAAAACAAATAATACGAAAACACCACCTTATAATATCAACAAATGTTTGTTTTTTTGTGACCAACCCTTACTTGGTTACTTTGGTAGAGAAAAGGTCTGCTCTGAAATTGTACATAATAAGAGGCCACACATGATTCATTAAGGTCATGCAGGGAGTAATGGCAGCATGAGGTATATTGTCTTACCTCCTCTGCAGGGCACCTTAGACACGGACCTGGAAACATAAAAACAACAGGCAGATTGAACCTTTAATAAGCCCTGTCTCCTTGGTTACTGTTGCTAGGCCTGACAAGCTTCCCCACGAGTTTGGCTGCAGTCAAACATGAAGAGATATGAAGAAATTAAAGGTGTCTTTAATAATGTTATTGACGTTTGTGAATGAGAGGGACACATAGTTTAATCCACAGCATCCACTTCTCAAGATTAATTTAAAGATTTGGAAAAGGGAAGCTTGAATGTCAATAAATCAAACATGGACTCACTGACACAGGACACAGGAGACAGCACATCTTCACAACACCAAGCGCACAGACCCACAGACCTTAGTGAAGTGTTTGTGGATCCTTTTATGGATAAAATATTTCTTTAACTGGTCTGTCCTGTGTGTTTCAGGGCTGTTGGGCCTCAGGCGCTTCAGAGGCTTGTCACTGAACTACAGTTTATTGCTGCTGGAGGAGGAGGCAGGCGTGCTGTATGTGGGAGCTAGAGGGGCTTTATATGCCCTGCAGGCTAGTGACATCTCCAGCAGCTCTCTGCAGACCGTACGTACCGACAAACACATCAGCACTTAATTACAGAGCTTGCCAGGCAGAACCGTATTGATATTCCTGAAATATCCTATTTTTATTCTTCTTCCTCTCCACAATTTTTTGCAATGAATTCAGCAAAAAACGCTTAAGATGCAGACTCCATTCCAATGTTATGTGAATAATTTCACTGTTAGCCGTCATCTATTTTTGGTTTATGCAAACTTTATACTTTTTGAAAATGCAAGATTTTTTAAAAATATCACAATGATGTACAATTTAAGAGGCCATCAAATGGACTTTTTTTTAAATTAAACGTGATTGTAAATAAAATGTTTCTGTTTCAAATAAATGCTGTTCTTTTGAACTTTTCATCTATGAATCCAGAAGTGTGATTTTTTGTGCACATATAGTATATTGGTGCTTTAACACTGCAAAGGAGAGCAAAAGTCACATTATGTGTTGCAGTATCCTAAAATGTAAGCTTAAAACTTATTATATTTCTTGAGGAAATACAAAAATAGTGTATTTAGTTTTACCATTTCTTTTTAAAGATAATTTGTAGATTCTTTCCTCCTGAGAATTCAGATTTTGTTTCACTATTTTGTTCCAACTAGTGTGCATAAGTTAATGTGAGAGTTGTTTACAAACACCAGTTGGTACAATTTGGCACTGCAAACTGGAGCAGGAAGTTGCTGTGGCAGGAAAGCATTTTTACAAGTCTTGACAGTTCAAGAATTCTTGTTAATCTTGTACTTGGACAGATTGACTGGGAGGCATCAGATGATCAGAAGCAACAATGCTTGAACAAAGGGAAAGATAACAAGGTTAGTCATGATCTCCATCTATTGTGTTATCATCTCTAGTTCACATACTGATGTAGACATCTTCCCCCTTACAGACAGAGTGCTACAACCACATACGATTCCTCCAGAGGTTCAACAGCACACACTTGTTTACTTGTGGCACACATGCTTTCAGTCCCCTGTGTGCATACATTGTAAGTAACTGGGATGGCTACCTTTTTTATGCCTCTTAACACAGAGAGATCTTACTTTAGGATGAGAACCTTCATATGTAGGACTGTCTAAATCATTTTGTTGTGTTTTCCAGAATGGGAGAAAGTTTAAGTTCTCATCAGCCTTCGAGGAGGGTCGAGAGAAATGTCCATATGATCCCAACAAAGGCTACACTGGCCTGTTGATTGGTATGGCATCAATAAATCAATTAGCAATATACATTTCACACTTAGTTTGTTTTATTAAAAACAATCATATGATATTAACAATATTAAAAGCTCGAACTATATTTTGACGCTCTGTTTCCCTTAGATCAGCAGATGTACACAGCATCTCAGTATGAGTTCCGGAGCTTTCCTGATATCCGACGAAACTCTCCGAATCCCACACTGAGAGCAGAAGAGGCTCCAACTCAATGGCTACAAGGTCGGTCCTGCTGCAGCACATTTTATTAGTAAAATATTTCAGCCCACACCATCAACATTACCATATGTTTGGATCTCTCAAGTCATAGTAGGTTAATAATATTTGGCCATTTAACATTACAGTGGCGTCCACAAGTCTGAGACCACCAGTTAAACTTGGTGTTAAGTTGTAGGATTTAAAAATTTAAAACAATGAAAAATCGAAAATATTTAATAGGTCACTAATCAGATGTAAGCAAATGGTTCTCCACCATATATCTTTACAAATAAAAAATGAAATTCTAAATTTAAATATAATATACTCATATATCATGCACACTACCGTTTAAAAATGTGTGAATCAGGAACTTTTTTTTTTGGATTCATTAAAAGTCAGAGTGGAGACATTTATAATGTTACAATAAATTATATTTCAAATAAATGCTGTTATTTTGAACGTTCTATTCATCAAAGAATCCTGAAAAATGTATCACAAGTTCCACAAAAATATTAACCATCACAATTGTTTTCATCATTGATAATAATAAGAAATGTGTCTTGAGCAGCAGTATAATGATTTCTGAATGACCATGTGACACTGAAGACTGGAGTAATGATGCTGGAAATTCAGCTTTGCCATCACAGGAATAAATTACACTGTAAAACATTAAAATAGACGAGTTATTTTAAATTGTAAAATATTTCACAATATTACTGTTTTTACTGTATTTTTGATTAAATAAATGCAGCCTTGGTGAGCAGGGGCGTCATGCACTAATTCTTTTTGAGGGGGCACGAGTGGGGTGGGGGGGTCGTCATGTGACACACAGCAGCCACAATAGCACTCATGTTTTATTTATTTATTTTCCTTTTTATTCGAAACATTACCAAACGCATTAACTATATCATGAAATATCTCGATTCTCACCTTTATAGATTATGTTAGTTGTTCTATAGTGGGCGATGGTCAAAGTAGCCTAATAATGTAGTCTATTAACTATACATAAAAACCTGTCTGTTTATTTAAGTGACAGATATGGGTGTCATGCCATAGCCTAAAATATTTTTAATACGACGGACTGACTTTATATTTAATGTGAATTTAACATTGAAAGTTAATGTGAATAAAAACATTGTAAGTTAGGCTACTTATCATAACACTTTCATTGTACAGAAAGAGAGCAAAGAACATTTACATTATCAAAGAACATTTTCACTGACAGTCTAGAGTTTAGGCGCTCTCAAAAACTCCCATTAAAATCACTGAAGCTGTTTACACAGCTCACAACTCATTGCTCACTTTGAATGGGCATGACGCCTCTGTTGGTGAGCATAAGAGACTTCTTTCAAAAACATTTCAAAATCTTACCATCCTCAAAGTGCAGTGTCAATTAGTACAATAACATGGATATTTATTTTTAATTAACCATTTATTATTGCATTATTTTTTTTAATTATTTTACTTGTCAGTATTGTGACGTGACGTACTAACAGCAGTCTTCTGTCTTGTCCTGTACAGAGGCTGATTTTGTGGGCTCAGCGCTGGTGAGGGAGAGCGTCAGTAGCTCAGTGGGAGATGACGATAAGATTTACTTCTTCTTCACCGAGAAGAGTCAAGAGCTCAGTCCATACTTCAGTCACAGCAGAGTTGCACGGGTCGCTCGTGTGTGCAAGGTACGAGGCTACAGAAGAGGCAGAAGTCTTCACTCCACTCATCACTGTACCTGTGATTTCTCATACGCATCTTAAAACTGTTTAATTAAAATTAGTGAGTATAAATCCAGACTGTGGTAACACATGCTTTGCATAGTAAAGTGGAACATAAATGGTTAAGAATTTAATCAGGAAGCAATGGAAGCAAACAATGACAAAGATTTGATTCACTCCACAAAATAATGACACACAAAAATAGAGAGATGGCAAGCCATTGCCTTCGCATTTGAGTTGTTCAGAGACATCCATTGCCCTGCCCTGGAAAATAGCACACATACTAAAAAGTTCCTCACCAATGCATTTTTAAGCTCTAAACTATTTAATTCTCAGCATTGTAAGGGCTCTGCCCTCAAAATGCTCCTTTATTTGAAGTGTGGTTTTCTACAGGTTTCCTAATAGGGTTTTACAGCAACGTTGTTGCCAGGCATCTCTCTCTCTAACGGCTCCCTTCCCATGAGACTCGCTCTCAACCCATCAGTTTAGCTCTACACACTCAGATCCAAGTGCCAATTGAAAATGTCTGCAATTTCACATCTTTTCTAGACTGCTACTCCACAGTGTTTATTTACCATCTGATGTTTTTGTGTGCGTTCAGTGTGCTGCTCAATGATCAGTGCATGTAAGTGAATTCAACTGGTATGTTTCATCATTTGTCGAAGGCACAGAGCACGTCTTTACGGTCCTAAAGGTCAGGATGTTGGATGTTTACTGCAAAAGACTTGTTGTTGTTGATATCTGGGGCCTGTACCATGAAGCCGGTTTAGCTGGCTAGCCAGGTAAGTTTCAGTTTAGTTTGCACCAATCCTGGGTTTTAGGTACCATGAAAGTGGCTTGGCTTTTAGCGGCATTCATTGCCTTAGTAACTTACACTCCACAGCTAACCTTCTCTGGGGCAGGTTATGTTCTGGTTTAGAGATCTCAAACCGAAATTTGACCAATCAGCTTCAAGCAAAGTGACACATCTCTGATGCAATAAAGCCACTCCCCCAGTTTCTCTTACTCCAAATGAAAGGACGCTACTTAGTAAAACATTTTTAAAGATAAAATTGTCAGATTTTTTGAGATAATTATTTGTTATAATTATTTTATATGATTTATATAATTATTATACCCTTAATCCATTACACAAGCTAGCTTAGTTTAATAGTAATTATTAAGCTTCTATTTTAAATTAATATAAAAATATAGATAATATGCAATATAAATAAGTTTTAGAATCAATAGTTTAAACATGACTACATATGAGCTTAGATTTGTAAGTGTTTTTATACCTATAAATATTATCAACTCTATAAACTAACTTTACAACTTTTACTTGCACTTATATGGCAAGATGTTTTCTTTAAGTTTTCCTCTTTGATGGATAGATTGTTTCATCTTGTAAATGTGTTTAAATTCTTCATATTGTTCAATCTTTTAATATTTGGTAGTGAATCGCACTGACTCTCTCTCGAGAAGTGAATCACAGTTTCAAGGCATGTGATTGGCTGTTCATTACTGATGTCACACTTTCATGTGCACATGCTCCATTAACTCAGGATCAAGCCTGAGTTGACAGAGAAAGTTGATGATCAGCTTCATGGTACCAACAAAGCCGGATTGGACTGGTTTGGTTTTGTCAACTCAAAACTAATCCTGTAACCCCGAGTTTGTTCAGCCACCATCATGGTACAGGCCCCTGGTTTAATAGGGATTGTTTTCAAAGCATGTGCCTAATATTACACTAGCTGTAAGCATGCGACATGTGAATCGTGAGTGTATTTTGATTCAGCTATTATTGTGAAATTAGACATTATCATGCAGAAATAAACTTAATTTCTCTTTGGGGGGATGTATGTGAACCCAGCTTTTCTTTAAAATGGCTTAAATGTCTTTTTACTCAAATATAGTCCAGTACATAATATATACACTAATTATATCAGCATGTAAGAAAAGTCTATATTTTGATACTTTAATGTAATAATGTTCATTACACATTTGAAAAAGATCAATATTTAAAATCAGTCAGACATTTTTTATTTCACAGTTGTCCTGAACCTCCTAACTGTGATAATATCTGTCAAAAGTTTGGGATTTTTTTGAAAGAAGTCTTGTACGCTCATCAAGGCTACATTTATTTGAGCCAAAAACAGTAATATTGTGAAATATCATTGCAATATAATGATCAAGGTTGAAAACAGTTGTTCTGCTTAATATTTTTGTAGAAAACATGATTTTTTTTTCAGAATCCTTTGATAAATAGAAAGAACTATTCAGAAGAAATAGAAATCTTTTGTAACAATATAAATGCATTTACTGTCACTTTTGACCAACTGAATGCATCCTAGCTGAAAAAAAGTAATGATTAAAATAAATGCATGAAAGAAAGAAAGAAAGAAAAATAAATCTGACCCAAACTGATCCCAATTTTTTGGACAATAGTGTACTGTACATATTAGTAGGTTAGATATTATAGACTGAATTTCATTACATTCCAGTGGATTGAGGCCGGCGCTGGTGAAGAGTGTGAAGCAGGCTGTATGGACTGAGGGTAAAATGTGGCAGTTCACACAGCAGGATCACCTTAATGAGTAGATTATTGTTCATTATCCACATGCTAGAGGGATTGAGTGCTGTTAATGCACACTAACTGACACTGAGCTGAGAGAAAGCCATGTTAAGCACAGTAACTCGGCTGTTGTCAGTAACAGTCTGTATGAAGTCTTAATAAAAGCTTTCCGTTTCTTTATATTGATGTAGGCTAGAAATCACTTGCAGTTTTTTAAATATCCAAAAAGATCTGAAGTGGATTATCGTATCAGTGGCAATGCATTAAGCTTTGGTTTCATCTGCTTCTGAATATCACCGGCAGAGATGATGGCATCATAAATCAACATTCAAAAGCCAGTTTCCTTTTTTTCCACACTGGAAATTAAAAACTAAGTACTGGGAAAACCAAGAATTGCTGTAAGAAGCTTTGGGGTCTCGTCAAAGTCATTCTTCCATGAAGATTTATTCTCCTCTTGGGAGGCAGCATGGAAAATTTACTTTATCCCCCTGACATGATTGGGGATTCCTTAACATACAGAAAAACCCATCCAGTTCAGTGTGTTTCCCTTTCCCACAGTCACACTGACGATAATGTTAGCTGCCACCAGCCATGCTAAGAGTCAGTGATCAGAGTCAGTTATAATCTTTCTTCTACTACTGTTTTGTAACACTCTTGAATTTTTCTAATAGTGTTGAATTGATATAATTTTTTTTGTTTCTATCACTAGGTTCACCTAATGATAAATATTTCCATTGTTTTTATGTTTTCTTTAACTGTTTACTTTGATTTGTAAGGGGCTTTACATGGTAAATGAATACAGTACCATTCAAAATTTGCATGGGGACAATAAAATGTTTTTGAAAAAAGTCTCTTATGTGCACCAAGACTGAAATTATTTGACCTCAAATGCAGTAAAATCAGTAATTTTGTAAAAAAAAACAAAAAACAAAAAAAACCCTAATTTAAAACAACTATTTTCTATTTTAATATATCTTAAAATGTAATTTCTTCCTGTGATGCAAAGCTGAATTTTTAGCATCATTACTCCAGTCTTCAGTGTCATACGATCCTTCATCAATATGTTGATTTGATGCTTAAAAATAAAAAACATTTATTATTATCAGTTTTGGAAACAGATTAATATTAATATTTTTGTGGAAATTGTAATATGGTTTCTTTCAGGATTCACTGATGAATGGAACAGCATTTATTTGAAATAGAAATCTTTTGTAACATTATAAATGCCTTTACTGCCACTTTTGATCAATTTAATGTATCCTTGTAAAATATTATATTCAAATATTAATTTCTTTTAGAAAATAAATCTTACTGACCCCAAACGTTTGAACGGTAGTGTAAATGTTAGTAAACCTTTCAAGATAGGCATCTGCTGTTGCGTCTTATGATTTTCTTTCAGCTGTTCTCTGTGTTCATCTTGTAGAGAGACAGAGGAGGTCTCCTCACACTACAGAAGAAGTGGACCTCCTTCCTGAAGGCCCGTCTGGTGTGTTCTTTACCTGACTATGAGTTTCACTTCAACGTGTTGCGGAGTGTGTTTTTTCTGGAGGGCTCCAGCTCTCAGGACTCTGTTTTCTATGGCATATTTGGTCTGGAATGGTAAGATCTCTTTTGTACTATCCTTTTTACATAATTGCCTATTTATCTATTTGCAATAGTGTTTCGATTTCATTGTGGGTGTCAATTACGTTAGTTATCTGTCATGATGAAAGACACTTCTTCTGGTTCTCCTTCTCAGAAGGAGACCATCTTTCTTAAATGCTCCTGGCAGTTGTTTGTGAAAGTGTTGTGCTGCCGTGCATTCAGGGTGGCATGCAAATAACACCTGAGTCGATAGCGATTAAAGGATTCTGCCAGGGAGCGTCGTGTCATTTTGCTGTGACTGGCGGGTTTGTTGAAATGGATTTTGTCTATTAGTAAGTTCATCTGTCAACCCTGGCTCGCTCTGGCCATTTACATCAAATGAGGCGACAGCATTTACAGTCCACCAGGATCATCAGAATGAAAATCGCTGACACGTCCTCTTGCTGCCTGAAGCACAAAGCATGTTTTATTCATAAGCAGGTCACGTTCTCTCAGGAGATCAGAGAATTTGTTCTGCACACGTATAAAGATGCCCATGAGCCAAGCTTTGACTAGTCATTGATAAAACTGTAAGATGTTGTACTTTGAAGCTTGAGGGACACATTTCTGTTTTTGTCAGCATAACAGTGGAGCAATTTCTTTTTATTCAATTGTTTCCTTTCACACATTTCTTCAGAGCTAAACTGGTTGTAACACATAGGTCACTCACGCTTAACGTCTGCCGCTTTGACATGACAGTCTTGACGCCCTGCTGAAACCAGAGGGGCGGTTCTGATGAGCTGCCAGACAATCAGTCTGTGGGCTGCGGCTGCCTGAGGTGCAAACCACAAACATATGAGTAACAGTGATGAATGACAGGACAGGCAAGACTATAATGTGTGCTATGTTAGAAAATAATTAAGAGGCAGAAGGAGAGAGACAAATCAAATGAGAATGAGTGCGTCAGCTGAGCTGTGATGACCTGAGCACACTGACCTCTAACAGGGTAAGGCTGAACGACTGTGGTGTCACCATGTCATCAGTTTGGGTGTAAAGTTTACTTTGACGTGGGTGTTTGTTTTCCTGAGTATTAGGCAATTCTGAATCAGACATGGAATCTCCAAACACCTTTTCTCTTAATGGAATAGTTCTCACAAAATTGAAATTTGTATCATACATTATTTACTCGTGTGTTTTTTTTGTGAAACAGTAAAAGGAGTTATTTAACAGAATTTTAATGCTGGTCTTTTACATAAAAAAATGAAAGCATGTGAGGCTTAATAAAGATTTTGTGTGTGTGTGTGTGTGTTTATAAACATTTTCTTTTTACATTTACAGTATATGATATATTATTTATAGAATTAATATATGTCAGTAAAACTATAATGTATGGATTGTAATCTTCTAACTCATTCTTGCAATTTTGCTAAAAATAACTGATGACACGTTCAAATTAGCAGAATTTTCAACAACCGAATTTGCAAAGCTTAATGAGACATTGTACAATGTTAAAGAGCATAAGACATTGGAAACGAGTAGTGGGCCAATCTTTTTAAAGCCCCTTTTCCACTATCTCCGACATTCGCGTACGATTGTCGCATTCCGACCCCTAGTGGCAGTCGCGGTTGTGAAGCAGCTGTTACCCAGGTTATTTGCAATGGTAAAATGAATGAATAATGAATGTATGTAATATATATACAGACAAAACAAATGACCGCCCATACATTTAAAAGAAAAACATAGAAGGTTTTCTATGGCTGAACAATGTAAATAGTTATTTAATAATTATAAAAAAAATAGGTGGGCTCGCTAATTACAAATACTCTAAAGACCATAGTCTCTAGTATCAGTCACTAGTGTGCTTCTTGAGGTTTACCTGCACAGCTCTAACTTGCTAGCCTCCATTACACACCCAAAGCTCAAATTAGTGAAAAGATGGCTTAATGGCCCAACACTCAGGTACCAGTTGAACATATTGTTGAGCCCTACATACAAAAACTGACATTTTAATTTTACTGACAATCCTTTTTTTTTTTTTTTTTTTTTTTACATTTTCTGTTACTGTCATTGTACGTAAAAGAGCAACTTGGACATTCAGCTAAATATCTCCTTTTGTGTTCCATGGAAAATAATCATATATGTTTCAAATGAGACTGGGTGAGTAGATGGTGACAGAATTGTAATTTCTAGTTGAACTATTCCATTAAGCTACTACTGGAAGCACTCTTTTCCCTCCCTATAGTCACTTCTAAATAATAAGTGCCCCTTCCTCTTTTTTCACTAGGTTGTACTCATCACTTGAGGAGCTTTGTCTATGTTCCTGTCTCGCCCCCCTTCACCCACTCACTGTCATCCCTCACCTCTCTCACACACTTTTTGATAAATTTATCATCTATTTTTCGTGTTTCCATGGTTACACAGTGGGCTTATGAGGGTTTTATGCCAGCATGCCAAGACCTTGAGAAACAATGAACACAGCACAGGCTGAGACTCTTCGGTTAATAAACCCAAGCGTACAAACTGGAAACTGGATCAACCACAAAGCGCTCACACCTAGGCTGATTCACCACTTTCATGAATGCACCTTCTATTCACAAATTTTCTTTGTGCTCCCTTGAAATATATCCTAAAGAAATGGCTGAATGTTGGTGGCTCAGGGTTTTACCTGACATCATGTAGTGTTGGATTTCTCTCCTTTGTACTGCTTTGAAAGAGTACTAACCAGTGCTTCTTTTTCAGGAAAAACGTAAAGGCGTCTGCTATCTGCCAGTACTCGGTTTCGGATATCCAGTGGGCCTTTGAGGGTCCTTACATGGAAAGCAAAGAGGACTCCAGCTCCAAATGGACCCAGTATACAGGGAAGGTGCCAGAACCGCGACCTGGCTCGGTACGGCCAACAGTAGCTATACTGGATTACAGTAACACTGATCCCGTTTCATCTTACACTGGCCTGATTATCCTCATCTCTGAAACACTGCCTTCTTGCTGACTCTGATGGGGAAGCACAAGTCAGCACTATATAGGTAGAGCTGCTCAAGTTATCTAATCGCTGTGTGCTTTACGCACAAGTCTCTGCTTCAGAGAGCACAGCGAGGTACAGGTAGAGCGCAGATCTAGTTTCATCCAGAAATCAGACGCTGATGAGTAATTTTATGGAATGCACATGGAGAAAAGGGGCTTATTTCATCAAAGCGTTTTGCCATGGGGATTAGTAGCAGGCAGAACATCTTTGCTGATTGGCTGCATTGTAAATTTAGAATCTGTGATATTGCTAATGAGCGAGTCTGTATGTGAGTGAGCAGCTTTAATTGCTGTTTGAAAGTTCTCAGAAATTTAAAGGATTTTGGTTTTTCCAGCCTATTTTAGGTTTTTGAAAAAGAAGCATTTCCTGTAAGCTTTTCTTCTGGAACGCTTGAACAGTGTCAGATATTTGAAATTATGTCAATTTTCCGTCAACAGACCGAGAATAGCTCAGTGTCCTATATTCTCAACAGGTTCTTGGAAATTAGTGGGCAATCCCACTGTGTCAGAAGAAGGGAGAATTTCAGACCCTTTATTATTTGTGTCTGCTATCCTTTCAAGGCTGTGAAAATATGGCAAGATGTATATGCTATTGTCAGAAAGTAACGTTACCTTGCTCATTCCATTTCTCTTCAGTGCATCACAGATAATCTTAGAGCAAAAGGCATCAACTCATCCACCAACCTGCCAGACGATGTACTTCACTTTGTCCGTCGCCATCCGCTCATGTACAGACAGATCCTTCCTCAAGAACAGCACCCCCTGCTGTTTAGGAGGAATGTGGACTACACCAAAATTGCTGTACACAGAGTGACTGGTCTAGATGGTCAGATATACCACGTACTCTTCATTGGGACAGGTAATGTATGTTACAGTGACCTTTCTTTAACTCTTATCTATCAAGCACTTGGTGGTTTTATTGAATGCAACTGTGTTCTGACTTGTTTTGATGTTCCTCCAGATGAAGGTTGGCTGCAAAGGGCTGTGAAGGTTATTGGTCAGCTGCACATCATTGAGGAGCTGCAGCTCTTTGAGGAACCCCAGCCAGTGGAAAGTATAGTCATCTCTGAGAAACAGGTGAGAAATGAGCCTGTGCACATCCTGGAAGTTGAATTAAATAAAAATGTCTCTAAATCCATCATTACAACAGGTTGTTCCCGTTATAAATTCTCCAAATCCATTACATTCTGTTTGAACTGATATGAGTATGACTTGATTTTATGTACAGCCCACAATGTGAATCTTACTACCCTCTTGAACCTTTCAGATGAGTGTGTATGTGGGTTCGCCCACCTCAGTGGTGCAGTTGCCCTTGTCCACATGCAGCAGATACTCCTCATGCTTTGACTGTGTGATGGCGCGTGACCCCTTCTGTGCCTGGGATGGACTGGAGTGTGTGGAGATTACATCACACAACAGAAGGTATGTGTGCGTGCTCATGAATACTAGTTACTTCTGCTGTTCGTTCTTAACTTGTTAATTAATTGTATGTATGTCATGGAACCACCCACTTCAGAGCATCTTGGATAAGTGTCTAGCCCAGAGCTGGTGAACTCTGATCATTGACACATTAATATATTGGTATCATTTTGGTTGTCAGACCAAAATATATATATATATATTTTTTTTTTGCCTGCATCAGTTGATACTGATTTTTTAATTGTGCATGCTCATTTTCCATATTTTTACATTCAAATGACCTTTGCCCTTAATGCTGTGATGCCTAAATTCACTGCTAAAATCTGTTTGAGTTTTTAATGTTTTATTTTTGATTTAGGCAATCGGTCATTTATTATTTATCGTCCATAATATGGAAATAATCAGTATTTATTAGTATTGGTCAGAATTTTAATATTGGTGCATAATAATAATAATAATAACTTCTATCTGCAGAGACAATCTGACACAGGATATTCTGAATGGAAACCAGGGCTGTGATGAATCCACAGCAGATGGTATGAAAAATAATTCTTATAATAGTCAGTGTTGAGGAGATGATTCAGTGTTGTTTTAGTATAAAGTGTTATTTATGTTTATTCATATTTGGAATTAGCTTTCATTTTTATATTTTCAGTTTTCATTTTAAATTTTAGCGTAGGTTTTAGTCATTTTGTTATATGCTTTTGTCATTTTTTTATATTCTATTTAGCTTTAATTAAGTTTTATTTTCATATGAATAATTTTAACACTTCAACTTAAACTTTTTACGTCAGTTAGTTACCAAGGCTAAGTTGCCAAGTGTTTTAGTAATTTTAGGTTTTTCATCTATGACTTCTTCATTTTATTTTAATTAATTTCAGCTTTATTTCATTTTACAAAATTGATTTTTAATAATCTTAATTTCAGTTAACAACAACACTGTGAAGATGTGTTTAAAACACTGTGATGATTGTTTAGGAGTGTCCAATGAATCACCGTTACTGCAGTAATATGATCAAGCTAATTAACCCTAAATTATTCCAGTGTCATTATAACTGATGTGTGTGTGCCATTGCTCTGTCATAGACCAAGTGTTACACCGCTCTCGCTCTGTGATGGCGGGTGATGACGTGCTGCTTCAGTGTGAGCTCAGCTCTAATCTGGCAACCCCTGAGTGGATGCTGAATGGAAAGGAACTGCGGGGTTACGGACTGGACTCCGGTTACCGCGTCGGCACTGACGGTCTCCTGGTCATCGAGGCACGGCCTTACCAGAGCGGCGACTACTGCTGCTTTGCCCTGGAGAATGGCGTCCATGTTCCTGTGGTGATCTACAGCTTGACAGTTCGCAAGGAGCTTCCCGCACCTCCTCCTGTTGAGCCAACGCGGCCACGCTTGACCACATCGATGTACTGGACCATTCAATCTTCCAAAAGTGACTCCACGGAGGACTTCTATCCAACCCCAATGTCCCCTCGCTTCGAGTTCCTGTCTGCGAGGAACATGGAGGCCATGTACCTATCCCTAATCACAATTCTAGGAAGCCTGTGTTTTGTTCTAACAGTCATTCTGATTTATGTGGGATTCTGTTTGCAAGGACGGAGGGGTAAATACTCTTTACGGGCTGCAGCTCGTGCCGAAAGAAAGCGAGGTGCCCACATGGAGCTGAAGACCATCTCCAGCCACTGCAACGGGAAACCGGATGCTCACGATGGTCTGCTGCAGATCGTCCCTGGAGAAGCAACAACATCACCCAACAAAGAGCTTCCTCCTGCTCCACCTCTCCCACCGCCACCAGAATCAGAGTACGTCAATGGACTCTCTGCCACTTTACCCAGCGTCTTACGCAAGATGAATGGCAACAGCTATGTGTTGCTGAGACAGACAGATGGAGACACCACGTCTCCGCTCTATTACTCCTTCACAGAGGAGCTCAACAGGATCCTGGAGAAGAGGAAGCACACACAGCTGTGTATTAAACCTGATGAGAGCTCGGTGTGAAATTAACCTACCCTGTGGAGATGCGTTTGAACTGCTGGTGTCCTCTCAAGTGTTCAAGGGCAGTGCCATCGTATAATACCCCTTCTTCACCCAGACTAGCTTTAACGGGATGCTAATGAGTAGCCACAGCTGCTTTTATTGGAAGATAAACAAAGCGTTGGTATTCCTCTAAAAGGAACAAAGTCCCTCTCGGTTTACATTTCAAATGTAGAGCTTGAGACTTTCAACAGACTGAGGAAAGCCCACTGGTCACAAATAGCAAAGAACAGACACATACAATGGAAATTCTACCTCAGCAAATGGTATCGCACAGCTTTTGGCTTGTTTCAGCATGCTTGCTTTAAATTCGAGTTGGAGTTAAGGATGTATAGTCGGGGACACGCAGCAAGGGAATATTCAAAACAAAAGAGCTCATCTGGGGGAATCAAGTAAATGATTCAGGTACAAACTGGTTGGAAGAAACATTTACAAGGCAGCATTGTAAAAAAAGCAACAAGATGAACTCAAATGGAGGTATCGCCCCAGAATGGAGCAAAACGTGTGAAAACTCTAGTGCCGTAAAGAACTGAATGTCTTTGATATGTCCTTTATTTTAATATTTTCTAATTTATGCCAACACTGACCATATCAGTAACAGCTTGTAATAATAATCATAATTAAAAAGAGCAGGGATAACAGACTTTAAAAACAATTAGAAATGCACTTGATGGTACTAATAGTGTAAATATGGCATTTATTGATAGTTTCACAGGAGTGGGAACCCAGGAAGCTGACAGTATTAACCACTGAGATGCACTTTATGGACCGGTAGCATTTGTTTTCCGTGAGGTGCTGCTTATTGTGACAGGTCTGGAGAAGACGGAATGGATTACAAGGACAGGACCATTGCGAAATATGTGAAAGCGACAATATGAATTGACTCTGAATTGAAACTGCTGCAAGAGGGAGGACTAAGTCTCTGTTTAATCCTGAGAAATGGAACACTAAATATGTCTGGATTTGTTTGACTTAAGATCTGTTATGTCTCAGATATGTATGTCTCTTGTAGTATGATAAGTCCACATGCACAAGAATTGACATGATTCCTTTTCGGAATCCTTCATCAGAATTCCGGGGTCATTGGCTGCTAGGTCTCCATGGCAACCACAGAGCAGAGGTAAAGCTGATGCTGACCTTCTTAGATTATCCTTTTGACATGACCAATTATTACAGCACTTCTTACAGCCAGGTCTCACAGTCTTAACAGGAATTAACGAATTAGCACGACGACGTGAAATTAGGCTTCTGCTGCCAGTAAATGAACTAAATTCAGTTCTAGTCGGGACATGATGAACAATGAGTATTGTAACATGGTGATATTGGGGGGGTTAATTATTCCCTACACTTCCAGTAAGTCCATTAAACTGTGTAAATGTTCGTCCTGGAATTTCTCCAACTGCTCCGACTGCCCACACTTGCGTGCAAGAGCATTTTGGCATATCTCCCACTATACTTAAGGGGAGCGAAGCACCTGGTTCTGACTGTTTAGATCAGAATATGCAGATTGCAATGGAGCCGAGTGGAGAACATTAAGGCCACATGTTCAGAACAGAGCTAAGATGAGCACTGCTGATAGTGCAGCTTGCTCTCTCCCTTATGCTTTGTGTTCAGACTTACTGTTTTTGGTTTGTTTAGTAGAACTGGACTTACTTTTTCACTTTCTGTTTTTTTTTTTCCTAAAACACTTTAAGATGTCATTAAATAATGTCATTATTTAAATATTTTTCCTCATGTCATTGCAAACCTGTATATTGTTATTTTTACACAAAAGAAGAAATGTATAAGTATCTTTCCGTGGCTCTTTCTATACAATGAAACTTTATAGTGACTAAAAAGGATAAAATAAACTTACATTGCAAAGAGCAAAAAAAAAAAAAAGGATTTCTTCCTCAGAATATTTGTCTTGTTGTCAAGTACAAATATCTAAACATTCTTAAATTAAGAAAGATTTACTAGAAAAGCTCAATTACATAGAATTAAGTGAATTTATGCTTAAAATAAGAAAAATACACTTGTTTTTCATTTGAATTAACATTATTTTTCTTACCCCATTGGCATATTTTTTTCTTGTTTCAAGCGTAGGATTTCGATAAGGTGTCTTGTTTTCTGAAAAATTTACTTCTCAAGTAAATGCATCTTGATTTAATAATGTTATGATATTTTTACTGGAAAACAAGACAAAAATACTAAGTAAGAAAATAACTTTTGCAGTGCAGACATACAACTCATATTCCAAATCTTTTGAAGCCAGATTCAAAATGCTTTGCTTTTACGCGAAAACAACATTGTATGAGCAGACCTCTCATGATGAATATAGCACACAAGTCATATGGACGAATTTTATTGTACCTTTATAGTGCTTTGTCATTTTTTGAGCTTGACAGATTGTTTCCTGCCATAAATCTTTCATCTTTTTTCCTCCACCATCTCTCCCTCTCTGAATGCTCTAACACCATTTTTTATTTCCATTTGACAAATGGCTTTCATGTCCGTGCATACACCTCCATCATAGTGTCTAATGAGAGCAGAATGGATCTGCATACACGTCTGACCTCCACTCTCCCAGAGGGTCACAATCTGTGATTAGATGCTTGTCCTCATTCAGTTCATATTGTCTGTTCCTGCAATGTTTACATCCCTTGAGTCTTATATTCCTGCGAGAGAGGCACTCCTGCGGATTCTTCTAACATGCCAGGACAGGTTTGTGGATGAGAAATATCTCGTCTGCTGCCCGCATTCAAAGTGAGATTGACAGAGAAAGATCAAAAGAGAGTCTGGAGAATGCATTGAAATAGATTGGGAAATGGTCATTAAGCCTTTTTGTCTCATTTAGAGCAACTACACAGAGCCCTCAGCAGCGCCCGTATCTGATTCCAGATTCAAAAATGGCACGTTAATGTCGCTAAAATGCCATTGGTTCTCCTGGGTGTACTAACTGAACACGATGCGCTACTTTTGGTCGATTTTTCGCATGTTGCCTGGCTTCAGAAGACTTAATATACCACATAAAGAGTCATATCGACCACTTTTATGATATTTTTTAATGCTGTTTAATGGCAAGAGCTACATAATGATTTCAGTTTTAGCAAATAATCGCAGCATACAGGTTTGGAATGACACGAGGGAGAGTGAATAATGACAGAATTCCCATTTTTGGGTAAACAAACAAAACACAGAACCTTTAGGCTCAAACATTTTGGGTTTATTTTTTGACAGAGAGCATCATATCAAGAGATGCACAGTCCCAAAAAATGAAATGTTGAACAAGACAACAAGAAAATATGACATTTTCAGACATTCCAGTCCTTACAAAACAATATATTTCTTTGCAGCGTAATCCATAAAGCATAATGGAGTCGCCATTGAGGTTTATGACAGAATTGTTATTGATTGAGTGTGTTACATTGTTTAGTTGTTGTACTATTAAGCCATTCGCCATTTTCAATATGAACTTAATACTTAATGAATAATTAAAGAGGTTTATGCCCTGTATAGATGACCAGAAGAGACATAAATTGAGTTTAATGGGTCCCTTCAGTCATGCATACTTATTCCAGTATACAATATAACTGAAAAATGTGTCAGTGGAAGTATTTATTTTATAGCTTTGTACAGTTTTGTGTATATTTATTTTAGTAATGTTTCAAACTGGGATTTTCTAAATTGTGATTGGTTAATGGTGCATGGCTATGCATTTTTGCAAACATTATTTACAATTTTTTGAAAAACAACACAAAAAATAGATATAAAAATAATATACAATATAAATATGATGCTGATAATAATAATAATAGAAATATAATTAAACCCAAATATGTCTAATAAAGCATGCGTTAATTCCATTTCCATTATTACAGTATTTTCCAAAATTGTAAAAATTGTTTCCAGTTGTATATGTGCTAAAATGTTACACAACATTCCAACTAAGATTGTACACTTCCTATTTCTCATTTTGTGTTCAGAAAATATTGTAAAACTCCTGCAAAGCCGACCATGTCTCAGAGTCACTTCAGTGCACAGTTGTATGCCTCTTCAGTCGTGGGTAGGATTGTGTGGGCTGCCTCTGGAACTGCATTTAATGAAGCTGGTTAGACCTGTGCCTGTCACCATGGTGAAAAAGACCATAGAATTATTATCAATTCGCTTAATGTTTAATTCTCTACCGCTCTCTTCGTGCAAGAAACATTCTCGACTATCTTGCCCTGTGTGCGTTCAAAGAGGCATAACCCAAGGTATACATTTAATGTGTATGTGTTTTCTTTTGTCCATGGGTAAAGTGTTATGCTTTGTGTTTAATTAACACAGTAATACTACAGGGACGTGCATGCAGGGGAGGAGGCTGAGAAGTGTGAATTCATTATGTTCAACATCGGAAACTTGTAAGTCTGTTTACATCTTACTAGTAAATTATTTTAATAAACAGTATCGATGCTTCCATTAGTGTCTCTTTTATTTTGGTATGACATGAAATAAATGCAGAGATTTCAGCAAGTCTGTTTTCATGAGTCGAGCATAATATTCAAAATGAGGTTAGCATACTTCACCTGTGTTGACATGTAGGTGCTACAACAAAACAGGTTATTAGCATTTGACACATCAAATACGGCTGGATCAGGTTGTTCTGTGGTCAGCTGGCATTCACCAACTGACAGAATCTTTTCTCTTTCTTATTGACTTGAAATCTGCTGCAGAGAATGAGTTGAAACAAAGCACTCTGTCACGGATCAGTCCATATTTTAACTATGAGAGGGTGTGGGAGGTGCTTCATTCATGAGGGTAGTCACAAATCACCAGTTCATCTATTAAAAAGGAGTAGGCTCTTTATTGTTTTATTAACAAAAAGTTTGGTCCAACGATACCCATCCTGCATAAACAGGTATTAATCTGTCACCATCACATAAATGTTCAAAAGGATTTTACTGATGGTCAGTCTTGGACCCAGAGCCAAGGAGAGTTACTAATCTCTATAAAAGAGATTCAAACATTTACACCATCATAGTAAACCATGACGTCACATGACAACAGAAGGGTGTGGGGTTATGCTGGCCATTCTGTTAGTTATCGCCCGGTGGAATGATACAGGATAAGAGAACGGGAGATAAGCGGTGTTTGTACGTGAGGAGGAGTGTGGTTCTGTGTTGCTGGAGTCTCTATAGAAAGTGACTCATTACATTATTCTGTTCTGTACTCTACAAAAAGGTCCCAGTGAAAGCAATACACTCCAGTCAGGGACATCCATGGTTTTAATTATGGGGCGAATTAATATTTGAATCCTCTCAAAAAGAAATGGAGATAGGGGTGTCAATTAGAAGTAGCTTATATGTTACATAAAAGTACAAATCACTGTTACATATAAATAGCTGTTTCAGCTGGGGTTTTAAACGTTTCAATAACCTCAAAAGTTAAGGTGTGGACTTCTAGACCTTAATCAGGTTAGACGCCATACAACTCAACTTTCAAAACTGTTTTATGGAGATTTTGTCTACTAAAATTGTTTTTTTTTTTTTTCCGGAAAAATGTTTCATCAGCTGAACAATGAGATGTTAAACAACAGTAGTCCCTCACAGCCTCGTTTTCATTCCTTTCAAAAATTAAATATGGCGGCTACCCTGACTAAGGTCACACAGAAGCAAACAGCTTTCTAGTCAATGTGGTGATTCTGCATGAGCATTGAACCCGTTGTAAAATCTGCATGAGGAAATATGTTGCATGGCTTCCTATCTAGCTAAATGACTATTTATTCCCCTGCTAACATTCGCCAAACAACAGCGCGTGACCGCGATTTTGTTGGGTGACCATCCTGAACCCCTTGCGAAATCTGCATGAGAAAATCTTTCCTGTGGATTCCCATCTAGCTAAATGGCTAGATGAGATTTCCCCCGTGAAAAATTCGCCGAACAACAGTAGATGCAAGCAAAAGAAGTCGAAATATCACTCGTGACTCGTGCCCTTTTGTTTATTTGCTTTAATATTTTATATCTGTTATGTCACTTCCTAGTTTATGACTCACTGTAGTGATCTCCAGCTGTGCATAATCTTGTCATTGTAGAGTAAGGCTAAGTAAACATCATGTGCGTGTGTTAAAGGTTAAAGTGCAGTGATCCCTCTAGTTGAACTTAATTCGATCAGCCTGTTGCACTGGTCATCACACCCGCTCAGCGTTAGAATTACCCGTTCAGCTGCACTTCCGGTATGAGGTATCACGGACTGACTTGCTGTTTCAGGACAGGCAGTGCTGTTCAGGAGAATTCCAGGTAACCTCTCTTGAGACAGGCAAAACAGAGTCTGAAGGGAACCCAGCATACTTCTACTGCGCAATATACGGGTTACCAAGCAACAAAACATCGTTTTTAAAATGTGTATCTTACATGTCCAGGTACTGCTGTGAATTGTGGCTGAAGAATTGCAGGAGAAGACGTTTATACACTCTATGGCAGAAGTAATTCAGAATCAGAATCAGAATCAGAAAGAGCTTTATTGCCAAGTATGTTTGCACATACAAGGAATTTGTTATAGTGTCACAAGCTTCCAGTACACGGAGACAACAACAACACACAGATAATAAAAATGAGATGTGAATAAAATACACATGCATAAATATAAACCACAAAAAAA